TATCTTACTTATCTAATCACCTATTAATCCAGTCTTCTAAAACTTTTTCATCTTCTTCTGTCAGGGCAGGTGCCTGGGAATATTAAGTCTTTTATGTGAGTACTGTGTTAGATCTCACTGCAAAAGAGATGAGAACAGCACCCATGAGTGTGTCAGAATTTGACTCCCTGATAAAGCCCCTCCAATCTATGAGACAACTGCTTAACCAAGCATACTTTGAAAGTGCATCATCAAGATGCAAGCTTTTAGGCTATTGTGTAATAATAATTACATGTTGCAGTAAAAATCATTAAGAAAGTTTGGGGGTAATCACTATATCATGGACTTAGTCTGATTCCTGACCATCTTGGGCAGTTTTACAAGGATTCTTTAACAGCAACATGAGTTAGTTAACTGCTCACTGCTAAACGAGAGAAAACTTGGAACAGTTTTAAAAAACAAAACCAATTCTTCTTGTGTTGGCACTACTAATTTAGGCAACAGAACAATTTTTATACATAGTTGCTTAATCCTTACAGGGCTCAGGAGACTGAGCTTCTGTAACATCTGATATTCTGGCGACATCTGATTGTGCATTGAGAAAATACCTCAAATGTTTATGTCTGTATCCTTCCTCCATAGTAGGAAGGAACTTTTATTCTACATTTTTGTAGCTCCTTTAGGTAAAATTACTTTCTTTCCACCACCACCAAGCAATTCTCTTTTATTACCGCATCCCATTAGTTTATTATCAGAGATTACCCAGCTCCAGTTGGCTGTTCTGTCTACTAGTTGTCATACTCTTTCCTGTGAAGCACATTTCACAAGATCAGCAGAGGAATAGGTAATGATAACCATGTGCAATGTCAGCTTTTGGAAAGGCAGCCTTTGAGGGCTCTTCCTCAGAGGGAGACATGCAAAACACCAAATGCCAGTCGATTGCTCCACTGGTTACATGACTTCATGTTTACTCATTCTTACCCGTCTGTAGACCAATGACCAACAAATGCCCCAAGTATTCTAGGCATTCAGTAAGGGATTTGGTGCAACCTGCAACCCCAGTGGAGCTCAAAGGAGCTCTCATCCTAAGACTCCTGATGACTTCTTCAGAAACCGAATTAATCCTTACTTTTTTTTGTATACCAGCTGTGAGAAAAAATCTTTCTTTGCTTAGCCTTTTGATCAGCAGCATTACTCTTAAGTTTCACAGTTATCAAGTTACAATGTACCCTCTTCTTGAAAACTTAGTGAAATACAGGTGTTCTGCAGAGTGTGCTGAAGCAGGGACGGCGAGGGAGACGCACAGCCATTTCTGGTTAGAGATCTTGAAGTGCCCTTGGACACTGGCTGAGCGGCTGAAGCAAGAGCACTTGGCTGAAGATGGTGTTGAACTTCACCAATGCTCACAAGGCACTTATTGTTAGGAAGAAAATTCCATGAGCTTGTGGCTGAAATTCAGTAGTAGTGAAGCGGTGAGATAGGACAGAGACTTCATTAAACATCACGAACTATGCTAGCTACAAAAACAGTGTTTCTGCTCGTTTCCTTGTGGACAGCAAAGCCTTTACATTTCGTTCTACCACATCCTAATACTGTGTGTCATTAGTAATGACAAATGACAACTAAGTTTGTGGCCGTTTTCTTTTTATGTGCTGCTTGTTGCTGGAATGCCTATACCTCAGCAAGAATACCTACTTTACAAGTGTAGGAAGGCTGATGAGAAAGAGAGCCCTGTAAGACCACAGAAAATCCTACAGAGGGTGGGCACACTGCACTCAGAATAAGAAAGGGTTATTCATCTCTATCTGTATCTTGATCTGAGCACACTGACGAATTTTAAGCCAGACAGGCCTGTCCTGGAGCACCCACTTTCCAACCTGTCTCTGTACAGTAGGTCATTGCCCCAGTTCACAGAGATGGTATTCATAGTGTTACAGAAAGAGGTCAGACAATTTTGTGAGGACTGAATGTGAACAAGTTAACACCAACAGAAAGCATGTGACTGTAGACTCCACAGAACAGATCCAGACAATATTACAGTTACTGAGAAGTTTTCTTGGTTTGGTCTAATCTAAGTTAAACATATTTATAAAAAGTGTGGAAGGGCCAAACAAGGAAGGAAAGCTCAGCGCCGATTCTGGAAAGGTGTCATGGCTCATGGTCAGTTCTCTGAGTTTGCTGAGTCAATAAAATCATTCATTCTTTTCTGCGAGAATTGTACATAAATACACACTTCTTCAGCAGGTGTAGAATTCCATCCTCAAAGGGGAGTTTGGTGCAAATTGTGGTGGGACAGGCGACAGGCTAACATGTCACTCCTGTCTGAACACAGACGCACCTACAGAAATCCTTCTTTTTCCTCTATAATTTCTCTCCATCTGTGTTTTATTTTTTTTTCAGTTTCTTCTCTCTCCACTGCAGTTTGCTACCTTGCACTTCCAGACAGAACAAATACAGATGTTAACAAGAAAATTCATTGTGACTGAAAAAAAATTAAGGAAGTTGAGTAGGAGCCAAATGATTTAATTTTTCATTTGTCCAACTGTCCTATTGTCTGTTTCCACCACTGCTGAAAACCCACAACACCCTGAGAATATCTAAAGTAATAAGAAATTACTATGGCAATACCACAGCATATTCTCTCAGGTGACAAGAGCACAATAATATCCTGTGTTAAACAGACCACATTCTACTACCTGATCTCACCACGACCAGGGTAAATATACGGTTGTCACTCTATGGGTTGCTGTGAAGCGCGACCTAACACCTGCTGGGGCTAGCAAAGAGATGTTCTGATCTGATATGAGAACCTTTGTTATCGGGACTTGGGGAAAATATGTATTTTTACCATTGTTATAGGCTTTGCAAGTGACACTTGGAGTAGAAAAAAACTAGAAATGCTAAATGCAGGGAAACATTGACTCTGCTAATGATAGCCTCGTCTCTGCAAACAGGACCAGTGCTCAAGGGGGAGAAGGGTGTCTGGAGGATGGCGGCTCTAGAAAAGCCTTGGGCACACTTCATAAACCCCTGAACTGGAATTCCCAGTATATTGACTCATAATATCTCTGTTTGGCACTCTACAGACTCTGATCCATCCTGACATCCAAATTTCACAGCTAATGTTGAAAAATTAGAGAGCATTGAAGAGATTAAAGGATGGAAAAGTTTACAGTGCAACAGGTTGAGATCCTTCACTGTACTGTAAGTTTCTCCATGAAAAGGAACAGGCTTTGGAGCTCAGACTCCCACAATTATCAGAGACTAGGCTAAGAAAGGACTTGTTCTTAGCTAACTACACAAGGAACAGAAACTTCCTACCCAGGGAAACTTCTCAATAATCATCGAAAAACAACAAAATCAGGTGGTTGAATGTTAAAGCAAGACCATGTCAGACTGAAAATGAGATAAAATATTTTTAGAAGAATAGTATTTAATTGCTAGGGCCCTTAACATTCTGGGGAATTTCCCATCACTGGACTTCTGGATTTTTTTTTCAAGATTGGAAGTTTTCTAAAAGATAAGCTCTACTTGAAGTCACATAATTATCTCTGAAAAATTCTGGCGAGTCCTATGTTGTTATTACAACAATCACTTGGTTTTGAAAATTGTACAGGGAAGGAATTAAACTGTCATTGTGATATTTATAAGTGAAACACCTTAATCCTGTTGTTTTTCTAGTTTCAACTGCAGCTTTTTCTTTAGTTTCTGCATTTGCATTAAATATAAAACTGCTCTATTTTCCAGCTCTGATATTTTCTACAGTGTAAAATAGATGTCAGACAACTAGCTTAAACTACACCCTGCAAATTTCCTATCAAAGCAAAACTTAAAGGAACACATTTTTAAATTTTACTGAAGTTTTCACAAATTGCAGGAAATACTGGTGCATGTTAGATCTGCTTAACACAGTGTCAAGTGAGACAAGTATAAATAAAATGACTAAATGAAACTTTTACCTCAAGGTACATTTCTGTCATTACGAGCTTGCTTAATTCTAATAATTTTTTGGTTCTGAAAAATGGCAAAGGTAAGAAAGAAAGGATAGTTGGATGTACTTTAGAAGCAAACACAACATATAACTTCAGATGAAGTAATCAAAAAGCACATTAGTGATATAATTGAATAACTCTATAACAACATACACACAAGTATGTGTCTAAAATGTCTCACAGGGTGAAATGCAAACATTTGTCTCTAAGTCCATTACACATATTTTACAAAATCAACACAGATTTGGAGCAACTTTTTCTTTACATTCTCTTCTACAACTACTTAAACAACTGTGTCTATACCTTAAGGGGCCAGTTCTGGTTCTATTAAAATGAAATTACCATTGGAACAGAAACAAATTAAACAAGCAAAGACACTGCGGGCCTCACGCTATATTTACCTACCCAGTGCCTGAGCTAGGTTCTGTGCAGTGTTTTTGCTTAGACAGAACTAAAATCAGCAGAACCTCCTTCACCACACAACTGCCAAGAAATTGCCTTGAGGCTGAAACCAAGACAAATCTTAAATGTAATACTTCAGGGTTTTTTGTTACAAAAGTCCAACAAAATCCTCATCACTAAAATGAACCAAAACACGGTCATTGTGGACTGTATCCCAGTTCTATGACACAAGCACTCTCAGTAGCATTGAGAACGTCCACTTTTCGCCCCCTGTCTTACCGAACAGATGACAACTCTAGTGACAAAAGCAGCAGATTTAGGACCCAGAAGATTATAAGATACATCATAATAAAAGATTCTTGGGATCTGGTCCCACCCAAACATAAACAGAGCAGAAATACTTAAATAGAAGATACAAGTTCAAACCAGGAAAGCAGAAATCTTTATTGCAACATTAAAAAGCCTTTGATTAAATGGGCTTAGCTGCTGTTCCAAAGTGGGAAGGTAAAGGTATGGTGGCTAGGAGTCCAGCAGACAATTTATTTTTTTTTTTTTGTATTATTTTCACTGGTGTTATTTTAGAGTAAGTGCATTAAAGAAAAAAAATAAATACCCCAAACACCTTACCTCATTTAGCTGCAGATTCTGGAGTGGAAATCCTGAACTGAGGCAATGGGAAAACTGTCTACAGAACAGTAGGTTGGGTAAGCACAGGTTATGTCAACTAAAGACTCCCAGGAGTGAAGATAAATGGATGTGATACTAATTTTAAAACATTTTGCTGAACACTCAAGCAGCCAATAGGGGAATTCCTTAGGTCACTTCCTGTTCATTTGATTGGATCTGCAACGACAACAACCAAGATGAGGTTGAGAGCGTTTGCATAAGGCCAGCTCAGTCCTCGGCATTCAAAGAGAACAGGTCTAACCGGGTTACACGCGTGGCTCCAGAACAAAAGAAAAACCTGGTAATGGATGAGGGATTGATTTCTTTGTAGCTGTTTTCTTAAGACCATCCCTTCATTTTTATTTTATTTTTTTAAATGGAGGTTATTTCAGGTAGATAGGGAGATCATAATTAGAATGGGGACAGGTGAAAAGCAGGAATGTCCTAAATTAAAATTAGTCTGGAAATAACATTAGGAGATGCATGGTGTGGAATAACCCTGCGCTGGCAGGGAGGTGGACTGGGTGAGCCCATGTAATGGGCTCAGTCATTTCTTTTATGCATTGAGAATCCTGAGAAATGCATGAAAGGGGTTTATTGGGCTTTCAGCTTCTCGGGGTATTTGAGGGTAGGTAAGAAACAAAACGAGATAAAAAGTCATCAGTGTGTGGGTGTCTGGGGTTGAGTATGACCGTTCAGCTATATGCAGGTTAGCAGGGCAGAGAATTGGTAAACGTGTGCTCAGTCCAAAGTTGTCCTTGATCATGTGGGAGTTGCTCCTCCAGCCTGCAACCATGAACCTGAGCAGGAAACCAGGTGCCCAGATAAAAATAGGAAGCCTCATCTGTTTCTCATTATTTCACTGGTCAAAAAAGGCACCGACATGAAAACAGTTAAAAATGCACTAAAATGTGGGAAGGTTCTGAGGTTTCATTAATTTGTATGCATAAAACAAGAAATGCTAAATATTATTACTCGGTGACTGTTCAGTGGTCTGTGTGATGTGAATTTTCTAGTCTTTGCTCATTTTTGGTCCCAAGTCTCATCATAAATCTTCCCCTGACAGATGCTGACAAGAGTTCGCAGTGCTAGATTTGCCAAGCACAGGGAATGAATTGTCCTTCAACATCCAGAGATACTATTAATTATTAATCAAGGCTCATTGTCAATGCAGGGGAAATATTTTACAGATATTATTTATGCTGAACCTGATTTCAAGATAAATAATGGATCTCAGACTCAAGGAATGTCACCTTGTTCCTATCTAACACCAATTGAAAATGAAGTTCCTTTTGCTCACATAGATAAGGTGCACCTGTGTACAAGTGTTGTTTGGGAAGATTCAATTATTTCTCAGCCAGGTTAGGTCAAGTTCCATGGTTTCCATTGATTCTCATCTATCAAAGAAAGTTGTCCTTGAAGAAGAAGGAAGACTGTAAATACCCATCTTGGAGAGCTTCATTGTTTTGTGGTTACAACATCAAGGCTTGAGATTGTCCCTGCAGACAGCTCAGCAGCTATTTTGATAGGCCTAGCACTTACAAGATTTCTCTAAGCATTCATGTCACTGAGTCCAAGTATTTGCATACCAGGTCATGTCTTGGTGAGTATTTATAGCTTTCATCATCAAAATAATGCCTTAGCATAATATCAGCATGAATGATCTGTCCAGAACAGGAAAAGCAAAGAACTAGCAAGCAGTAAAGAGCACTTCCCTTTCCAGGAAGGATATCTTTTACAAGAAACCAAAGTCTTACCTTGTGCCACTGAGAAAAACACGGGAGATTAAAGAATCACACTGAAATACATCTTATCTATATGCTGCAGAAGCACCACAGGAGGATGTGACCACTGGATCTCAACATAGACAGGGAAAACAGAATTTTCCTCTTGCTAAAAAGGACATCAGCAAAAGCAGAAGGAAAATGGTTACGATGTGATACTGAGACTGGAATGTCACTTTCTGTTTGTGTGACTGTTGGCCTTTTCTGTTTCAGCTCCTAAGGGCAGAGACAGCTTTGGTTGCTAAGACGCAGAATACTTCCAGACAGACAAAAAAGCACATTGTACCAACAGGTCTGGACAGGGTGAAGCTAGCTTGGTCGGCACACCAGCATGCATTATTTATTACTGTGCTATTTTCAAAGGCAGGGTGCCACACAGGGTGGTGGCTCCCTAAATTTACTGCCCTACCTGGCCAACTATGCTACCCCCATGCTCACAAGTATGCTTATTGACACTTACATGTGGTTCAGCACAGAGAGGATTACGGGTGGCTTTTGGAGACAGTCAGACCTTTCCCTCTGCATATCCTTCTTTAGCACTGCAGCCACAAAATTAACATGAATTTGGTCCCCACACAGTCCTAGGTGGCAGAGAAAACATTAAAAACTTCATAACTAGGAACTTGAAGGCCACAATCCCGGTATGGCAGAAGTGCCAGTGCAGATTCCCAGAATTAATTTAATTACAGCCATCAAGCATCAAGGACATTACCTAAATTTGTCTAGATTCTTAAATTGGCGTCTCTTACTGTAATGTCTGACACTTGATGAAAACAGAGAACAAATGTATGGTAATTTCTATTTTTTCATTAATATTAATCTCTGCTTCATTTGTTAAATTCCAGTGAAATATCAAAAGGTGGGTATAAAGCTGATATGTAAGTTAGACATGCCAAGCAGTTTGAGAATACAGAGTATGAGATTCCTGCCTTCATTCTGCTGCAACAAAATCAGAAATGATTCATTAACTTTAATGGAAAATCGTACACTTTCTATAAAAACATCACTAGAGAAGCCAGAATAAATAGAACAAATACTGTTTCCAAGCTGTGTTCTATGTTACAGGCAAATGCCACCTATTACTAAGGTTGCCCATTATTTGGGCTTGCAAGACCTTGTAATTTTTTCTTCACAGTTTGTTAAATTTTAGCCTTTAGCTCTTTGGCTAAATTGAAATTTTTCATCATAGACATTGGCTTTGCAACAACATTTTGAGTACTGTCATCCATACTAGTATATGTTTTTCTGACAAATTCAGAAAGGCTAACGAAAGTGCTGTACTTTGCATTTATAATAAGAAATATTACGTCCTTTTTTTTGGAAAGCTCAGGAACATTTATTTTTGAAGCATGGATTGATTACAACAGGCTGTCAAATTACGAGTGTACTATTTACCATTCCAAATAAAATCCAACCAAAGTTAGCCAGTTTAAAGCTTATTGACAAATCACAGAATCACAAAATGGGCAAGCTTGGAAGAGGTCACAGTGGGTCTTCTAGTTCAACCTTCAGGAACATCCTAGAGCACCTTGCACAGGATTGTATCCAGAGAGATTTTGAGTATCTCCATTGAGAGAGACTCCTCATCCTCTCTGGGCAGTCTGTTCCAGTGCTCATTCACCCACACAGTAAAGTGGTGCTTCCTCGTATTCAGGTGGAACTTCTGTGCATCTGTTTCTGCCCATTGCCTCTTGTCCTGTTGCTTGGCACCACAAGAAAGGCTCCATCCTCTGATACCCTCCTGTACCCACTTACAGACACTGATAAAGTCCACTCTGATTCATCTCTTCTTGAGGCTGAACAGGCCAGACTGCCTCAGCCTTTCCTCGTAAGTGAGAGATGGTGCACTCTCCCAATCATCTTTGTCATCCTTCACTGGATCAACTCCCTGGCATTCAAGTCTCTCTTGTTCTGAGGAGCCCAGAACTGGGCCACAGAACTGGGCCTCACCAGGGCTGAGTAGAGGGGCAGGATCACCTCCTGTGAGCTGCTGGAAATGCTCTTCTAATGCACCCCAGGATACCACTGGCCTTCTTGGCCACTGCTGGCTCATGGACAGCTTGTTTTCCACCAGGACCTTCAGGTCCTTCTCCACAGAGCTGCTTTCCAAGAGCTCAGCCCCAGCCTGTGGTGGTCCAGGGGCTTTTTCCTCCCCAGAAGCAGGACCCTGCACTTGCCTTTCTTGAATTTCAGAAAGTCCCTCTCTGCCCATCTCTCCAACCTGTCGAGGCCCTTCTGAAGGGTTGCACAACCCTCTGGGGTATGGGCTGCTGCTCCTGGCTTTGAGTCAGCAGGGAACCTGCTGAGGAGGCCTCTGCCCCTTCCTCCAAGTCATTGATGAATTAGGTGAACAAGACTGGGCCCAGTATTGAACCCTGGGGGACACCACCAGTGACAGGGCTCCAACCAGACCCTGTGCCACTGATCACGACACTCTGAGATCTGCCACTCAGACAGTTCTCAACCCAACTCACTCTTCACTTAGCCAGTCCACACTTCCTGAGTTTGCCTATGAGGATGTTGTAGGAGACAGTGTTGAAAGCCTTGCTGAAGTCCAGAGAGACAACATCTACTGCTCTCCCCTCAAATCATAATCCACATGATGGATTCACGAGGCAGAACCTCGTTCCCTCAGCTTTCTTTTGCAGCAAATATTCTCCACTTCCTGGCTTCACAAGGCTTTCCTAGCAGGTAAAAAAGGCTATTCCTGTACACCTACCAACTTGAAAAAGCAAATTTTCCAATGAGTCCTCCATTTGGTCCAGCAGCTACTCTCAGTACAAGTGGCAGAGGTCTGTAGGGGGGAGCTAAGGGCTTTGTTCATGGGATTAACCCACAGGCTACTCAATGCCGAAACAGCCATCTCTGCACGCCACTTATTCAAAACCTAGAAACTGTACACAGGGAACAGAACTAAGAGAACATTATTAACATTGTGGCAGGCTGGGAGAAGCAGTACTTAGGGCACAGACTAGGGGGTACTCATTGAAAGGGAAGCTACCCAATGCTATGCATACAGGGAGTGGCCCTGAGTTGTATTGCTTCACATGAATCAAACTTGTGCTGAAAACTTCTGTTCATTTCCTCATGAGTTTTCATATGCTGTTCATCCTCATGGTATTTTAGGTATTATAGTTACACATGTATTTATAATGTAAATAAACATTTAATATATGTAGATTAGTGTATTACATTGTACTAATGCATTACCCCTAACATTACAGTATTAGCACAAAAGCATTTATTGATCTTTATGAATCCCTAGTGGGGTGAGAAAGTAATAATTTATTGTCTCTATTTTAATGGAGAATCCTAAAAAGATCAAGACAAAGGTGTTTATTAATTCCAGGTATCCATTTCGAGTTGCTGGAGCATCATGTGTTTAAAACACTTAGTATTCTATAGTTATGTAAAGTACTGAAAGCACAACCACGATTCATTCTCATTTTGGATCTTATTACTTAGCAGTTCTGTAAATTAGACTCCTTTTCACCCAGAAAAGAAGGAAAAAAATGGGGGTTTTAAAAAATGTTATCAAATATTGGTCCAAGTCTAGAAGACAGCCTAAACATTTCATCTGCATTTTTCCAAACGTAATCAATCTCAAGAAAATTCCATTACAGTTCTGCAGATTACTGTCTAGATAAATTATAGGTAAAGGAAGTAATGATAAGGACATTGACAATGGCCACGGCAGAATAAGAGCTTTGCAAACAATTCTGTGAAGATTCAAATTTTAAACCAATACAGCTACATATTTTAGTATTTCTACAGCTTCTTTGCATACATAATAGTCATCAAACAGAACCTCAACTGTCAGTTGATCTGATAAACTGAAAACCATTGAGTAACAAAGTTCCTTGGTTGTGTATGTTCTCCCCAGGAGAAAGATGTATCCCAAAAATCCAGATGTGTCTCAAAATGAGTACTGGATAACCTGATGAACAAAGGGATAATAGCAAACACCCTCAAATTCCTTTCCCAGAAATCCATCTGCCAAACAGAAAATACCATTTAAGCACCACTTCTCCTGTTCCTGGAGAAGACCTCTGCCACCTTGACACTTTGGTCTTCTTGTCACACATCTCAGATCAAGAGTTAGATTTTTTCCTGGAAAACATTGCAACTGTTTCTCTCATCATGTCAGTCTAAAGGTACAGAAAAGGCAAAAAAAAAAAAGTCTGCATCCATTAATTGAAGGACTTGTAGGAAAAAATTACGTAAGAAACTTTGCAAGGATCACTGCAAAACTGTCCATGCTCTGAAAGAGAGGAATAAAACATACACATCTGCACTGAGAAATAGAATGGGTATAGGATAGAAAGAAAAAACAGTAAAAATAACATATTAAGTTTTCCATGGAAAAGATAAGGGTAATAAATGGCCAGAATGAACTGCCAGAGCAAAAACAAATTGCTTATACAAACAGTGAAAGAAAGACATGCAAATCCTGGAGATTATATAGCCTTATAATTATTTATTTATTTGTTTTTACCTCCTCAGTGCATGGGTCAAACCAACTCAATGCATCATTGTTGCACAAACCTTTGGGAATAAACTTGTATGAGAAATTGGGAGACAAAGATTAATATTAATAAATAATGTCTGTGGCAAATAACAATGAGGAGGCCATTAAATGCAGGGCAGCATCTGTTGTGTTTTGCTTCTGATTTGAAGGAAAAATGTTAAGAACTTGTAAGGAGTCAGCACTACCAATTGGTAAGAAAGTATAAGACTATCTCTTGCCCACAGAGCTGAGGCAGTACCCTAGATTTCTGTGAGATTTTGAGAATGTATATCTAATAGTATTTTTCGTTTGAATCCCTTAGCAAACGCTTTGAAGCTGCCAGAACCAAAGTAAAATTATGAGAACATAAAGAAGGCAAACACAAAGTAATGCACAACGATTAAAAAAGAAAGGAGCACAGATATCGTGAGTTAAACTTTTAGTAGGTCTCAAATACTTCAGTTGTTACATTAATAAACCAGGACATGATAAAACCACAAGGAATCAGGAGTGGCATAATCATTCTTGGATGTTGCACCTCAGTCCCAAAATTTGGTGAATAAAGAAATTATAGGTTTGTGCTAGGACCACAGAGATAGGAACTAGAGTGCAGCTATAGAACTTAGAAGATGTCTTGTGTCAAGGTATGTGGATACCTTGACATTGTAGTACAATTGTAAGGAAAGTAGGAGTAAGCACTGTAAGTAGTGACTATTTCACTATATACAGAATATATCAAACATTTTAGGAAACCTGCAAGTGGGTAAATGGCTCTCAGACACAGAGTGCTGATTCTTATGCTGCAGTGTGTCTTAACAAATAAAACTTTTCCTGGTTTAAGAGTGTTGGATTCTCTAAGAGCCCTATGGAATAATTTAAAAATCTAAATGGTTTGAATATTTCCAAATTTAAAAATTGTTCAGAGAAGAGAATTTGGATTGAGCTAATCTCTAGATTAGCTAATTTGGGTTGTAGGTCTCTAATCTCTAGAAGAGACCTGCAAGGAGCATGCATAATTGTTTTTGTGCTGGGAAAGCAGGAAATTAAAAAATAAGGACAAGATGCTACGAGAACACATTAGGAGCCAAAAAAAATCGGATTGAAAAGGAATGGCAGGGTCAGTTACATGAAAAAATGGCAATTTTTCACACTATAATCAGCTACTTTTAAGGCAGTCACCCTTGTAATCTGTACAGCATGGGAAAATGAAACAGAGCTGAGGAGTCAAGGACAACCCTGGACGCAATTATCCATGTCCAGATTTTGATCAAAAGCAGTTTAAGGTCAGGATGGCACAACACATGTCTGAGCTGAGAATACAGAGACAGACAAATTGAGGTGCAGAGCAACTGACTGAGAGATCATGGATTTGATTAGTTATGAGGGATCTGTGGTAGCACTGCTACTCCCCTGGATTGCTCAAATAGGAATATGCCCAGCAAAGACCCATGACAGCATGAATATGTGGGTGCCCAAGATCTTCAATGTGAGCTTCTCACTCTTTGTGACATCGAAGAGCAGGATTCTGTATGAGTGTATTTTTGTGCCCGTCTGCATGCATGTGAGTGAGCTTTGCATGACTGGATGACTGTGGAGGAGATAAACTGAGAAACTTCTTATGCACATTTCTGTCTTGGTGTATAAATGTGAACCGAGTGAATTTAAAAGAGTACATTCATGCATTTGGGAAAGGGTATTAAAGAAGACTCCAAGATTTCAGCATTTAGAGTCAGGCAATGGATATATCTGCCATTAGGTGAAGTTGGAATAGCTTCACAGAAATGAATGAGGGGGGGTCTAAGAATTATATAGGTACAAAGGACAATAAAAACCCAACCCTTCATGGTTCAAGTTAGCCTTAGGAGTCATACCAGAACAGATCTTTTGAGGGCATCTCAAAGCAAGCAGCTACCTGCAAGATAGAGATGTGAACAATTCATAGGCTAACTTCCAATCTTTGTGATTATGAGAGGATTTCCTTTGCCAACACCTGAGCAGGGGAGTGAGGGTTAACCCTTGAACGTAGCTATAGCAGGCAAATCTTTCAAAACCTGTTTATCCCAGTTCTAGTAACTACACAATGTTCAGTGCCTGTGAGATGCAAATATCAAGTTTATGATTAACTGTGTTAAAATTCCATGGAACTGCAAGTACTTTTATTTGTTTGTATAATGAAATTGAGACAACGCACCCTTTCCTTACTATGCTTTCACTTTAATAACATTTAAAAGAAAGACTTTCATTGGATGCATGCACTATAGTCTCATATGTCCGAAGAGTTTTCTTCATATCCTTTAGTTGGAAGGGGAGTTAGTTAGCACACCATCTGCCAGGGAAAAGGCATGTCTGATGCATGCATGACCAGGAGAAATATCGTTCTAAGGAAGATGGGGGATAGAATAAGCAAATATTTAACACTGACCTCATTGGAAGTCAGCTGGTTCCCACTACAAAACTTGCACTGTGGAGAGAGACTTTTTCTAAGCAGGAAAGGGAGAGGACTTCAGAGACCTGGGTTATTCCTCTGGGTTCTGTCAGAATCTTTCAGCAATTTGCCTCTTGAAGTCTCTCAATCATGATGCTAAGGAGGCTACCCTTCTTGAAACAATGTAACACTATAAAGATGAATACATTCCTGTTTATGAGGCATTCCAAGTTTCAGTGGTTATGTCTGGAGATGAAGACTCTGCAGTTTATTAGTAATGCCATAAAGGGAGATCTGGATATACCAGACTACGTACTAGGCTATTGTACTAGCATTTATCATGCTAATTAAACTTGAGGGGAACAGAAGTTCAGCCTTTATCCTTGGAGTTCTGCTGCTTTAGTATTTGAGATGGGCTGTCCATGTCTGTTAGCCCTAATATTTTCCAGATGCCTTTTACTCAGCAAAGATTTCATGTTTCTTATCCTTACGTCTGGCACGTCGTTCCCAGATTAAAGCACATGTACATCACTTTTTCCAGGACAAGGGGCCAATGTAATTCAGTTCTGTGGGTGTTTGCACAGAGGAGCTTCATCTGCCTCTTACAGCTAGACAATTCAGTCTGGAAGGTGACCATGTGGACAGTATCACAGGCACTGCAGTGAGGCACACTGACATGAAGCTGGCACCACATCACCCTTGTATAGGGTTACTAAGCAGCATTGCATTAGTCAGAATTAATGACTTGATTTATTTAGAAAGAAAAACCTTCTCCCAGGTTTCTCCCATGCCCTTTCTGAAATGGCTTTTAGCAGCTGGCATTCTGCATCTGTGGGAGGAAAGGATGAGAAGAATTGTAGTGACTTTAGTAGGATTTATTCTGTGGCTTGCCAACTGGGCTCAGTGACCCACAGCAAAACAGCCCTGAATTTCAAAGGAGTGAGTCTCTCCTTGAACCGCTCCCTAAGACAGTGAAAGCCTTGGAGCTGGAGTTGTGATCTCCAGGAAACTTCATCACTGGTCTCATGCCCTGCAGGAGATCCTTTCACTTACATGCAGACATATTAACAAGCAGCAATGCCTCTTGCAATGACCCCAGTGGTGGGAATCAGTCCCCCTCTGATTAAGGAGACAGGTGGCTATATCATGCACCCTCACACACATGTACACATTGCAGAAATGCCTCGCCAGAGCGTACCTGAGGGAAACACCTACTGGGGCTGCCATGTCTGGAGGAAAGAATAGACACAGACTTTCAGTCAATTTCTGTACTAGGAGATTGCACCATTGCTACTAAAATGGATTGGATCTTCTGTTCTTTATGCCAAGTACATAATTTAGTTAATGGTTGTGATAGTCTAATCTAAATGGGGGGCAGGCACAAGATCTGGAGATCTGAGCCCTCTTGCATATTGACAGAAAGAGCACAAAAAGCATGGTCTTGGATCACAACGCAGGAAACACAGGAAAATAGGTTAGTATGCCCAAAATTTACAAAAGAAGAAATGGAGTGGAGAAGAAAAGGAAAGAGATGGAAAAAAAAGGGGGAAAAAAATGAGCAGTTTCAATTTTATAGGATGGTACAGTCACTTTCCATTTCTTACTTCTATTCATTCTTCACTATACTATTTGATTGTATTTATTTGCTTGTTATATTTATAGATGGCCTGCAGTGGTACTTTCTGACCTTTAACCATTCTGTGATTTCATAGGACACTTCAGGCTCTCAGGAACCTCAGAACATGTCTAGTTTAGCCTCCTGTTCAAACCAAAGCCAGGTAAGCAATCAAACTAGGTTGATGGAGGCTTTAGGGCTCTTTTGTCCCTCTAAAGCAGTTTCTTGGTCAATCAAGTGTATTCCATTAATTGAAACTACTGTTATAACTATATAATTGATGATATAACTATCAGTGTAACCAGTCTATCATCTAGGCTAGTTGTAAACGTTCCTCAGAATGGTACTCATGCCTCTTCCTTTACAGACTCTGCAGAGATTTATCACATTCTGGCCAGAAGTTTATCTGGCTCAGTTTTGCCCCAGTCATGTTGAAAAACATACTCCAGTATAATCCACTGTCGTTGTCCTCTCACCATGTCACTTCATCTTCTAAACTGTACCTCATATCTCTTTTCTCATCTGCAATAATACTGTAGGTAGAGGCACCAAGGCACCATAAAATCCATTGTCCATAAAGAAATGAGTTGAAAGAAAGCAGCCACCTGTTCGTGTGCAATTGTGTGCAGTAAAAAAACAACAGAAGCAAATTCCCCTGAAAATAATGGTTAATTATATGTAAGTCTACCCATTGTTAAATATTACCTTCAGCATTTTTCTCCACTTAGGATAGTGCATAAAACAGATTCCATTCCCAGCACCAGATCTCATCCCTGGAAAATCAATGGCAGTGGAGACAGGTAAGCCATGATGTGTTCATGCATGGATTAGCTGAAAGATACAACAAAAAAGAAATTATACTAGAACTCGAAGGCGTATCAGCCATCTTACTATTCCAAACATTCATCATATACATACTGTAACATATGAATTAGATGTATCTAATGACATAATTCTTCATGGAATGTGATTTGTTTATAATAATAAGAGCTACAGGATGTGTCATAGAATCCTGGTGTAAAATAATTTGGTATGCAACTTCTAAGGCAGAAACATAATGTTCCTTTGTGCTGTCACTGAACTGTTATTATTAAAATAATGAAAAAGATGCGGGAAGAAGGGGAGAGAGACTGGCAACGATCAGTGAAGCACCATTTGGTAATTATTACTATACTTTGAGATGCAAGTTGAAAACCACAATCTGTGTACAAAATGAAGACCACATTTTAGAATCACCATCAAGATCAGGTTTCAATAATCTGAAATTCAGAGTGAATTTCTATTCTATAAATTGCATATTTTATATATATATATATATATATATATATAGTTTTGACTAAAATTTATCTGAATGGAAGTGACCATGAAGTATTTGAAAGTGAACAAAAGCTTTAAACTATACAATGTACTATTCACTTCTGACAGAGTACAGTGTTACTAGCCAGGATAGCAGATTCAAATATTCACCTTCACTGGATTTTTTAAATGCCCTGTCAACATGGACTCTCATTCCCAGTCATGGGTTTCACAACTGGGTTGCCCAGGAGCAGAGGAAGGAGCCCAAAAAGTGCAGCAATGCTCTGATGATACTCAGTTCAGCCCTGGGGCTGGCTCAACTCTTGGGTGCTGCATTTGCCTACTTAAAATCAGCTCCTCTTTACTAACACCCAGTGGTGTCACTGCAAATAGCTACATCACCTGGCATTTTTCAAATTGTTTCAACTGCAAATTTTATAGACAGATGAGTCCCTTGGACATAGGTATGAAAATAACAAATCTCCTATACGAAAGAACAATAAATCATGACTCAGGTGACTCACTCCCTGCATAGAGGATGGAAAATGAAAGAGTAAGCCTTTGAATAAGAACTGACTGAGACCTGAGTGAGACCAGTTACTGAGATAATTAGCTAAGGTCTTTTCATTTATACATTAATGAACCAGAAGATCAAAGACTTTGGCTAGGCCTGTAACCACGACTGCAACATTGTCTTGCTATGCAATAATGAACTCATTATTAGCTGCTTTCATAAATTACGTGTGGTAGACTATTTTATTTTTAATACTGTGTATAAAGCACAAAAACAACTACAATGTTGTTTCAGAAAATTTTAATTGCTAAGCATGCACTTTCATGCAATAAGCACATTCTTGCTTTCAGCTGATTGCTGCTACCAATTTTGTCCTTTCACTGGAAATTTCCTGACAGATGGCAAACCTTCTCTTATTTTGTGGAAGAAAGGGGAAATAAATGACTGAATGACCAAAGTGAACTCAAAGTATGTTGCATCACTTGAGAAAAATCTATAAAATCTACCTCAGAGGTAGGAAAAACAGATTAACATGCTAAGATTACGTAAGATTGAGAAAAGTAAATATTCTAACAATCAACTTCACCCCATCGCTTTGTGCCAGCATGTTTCTGCCATTTAACATATTAGGGACAGATATGTCTGGACCCATGACCTCAGAGTTGATGTTTAGCTTGGGAAATTATGTATGTAAGGCTCTGGAGTTGATCTCAGGAAATCTGGAATGTTTTTCTCTTTCTACTGTAGACTTTCTGTAACATTGGAGGCGGGTTATATGATATTTATCTTTCAGGTCCAGAGCTGTAAAGCACTGTATCATTTTACACAGCTGCTGGGAGCATAAATGTATAAATGTTCACAATCTATAGTTGAGAAAAGTTTACAAGCACGCATCTGATTGAAGCTTCCAGATAAAATCACAGTTCTTGAAGGAAGTTGTTGACTGTTGCTGTTGGCAGTAAGATGTGATATGGAGAAAAAACTTTGTCACAAATGGACAAGTTATTATTATGTGGGCATGTTAGTATATGCTCTCTTTTAAAATGGCTTAAGAAAGAAAGGTATTTTATCTGTTGGCAAAGTTTCTGATGCAAAAAATGATATATATACTCACATTTATTTATGACCCTCTCAGAAGATCTGACACTGCTGGGGAGAAGTTTAAGCTTAGGCATTAAGCCATCAGTTGCTACAGTAACAGCAATTATTCACTGCTCTGGGACATAGGGTAAACCTGGCACATTGATTGCCACCCCCTCCTCACCCCCCTAAATTTTTTTACGTAATGATTTACCTTCAAGCCGATGATCGGATGATTCACAACTCAGATGGTAATAAGAGCGAGTGAAATCCCAACATCGAACAGTTTATTCAAAAACTCTTTTAGCCTGGAAATATCCACAAGGTAACATTTTTCCATGTGCTTCATTAATTTGAATTGCTCTGCAAACTTTTGTCAACCCCCACAGTTCTCACCAAGTATTCACCAAAGCTTTTGTTTCCAGCATGACTATTCATAATGTCTTATTCATCTGTGACCTCAGTAACATGTTATGGTTGTTTTTCTCCCTAACTGGATGACTTGAAAACCCACAAAGAAGGCTGCAGGAACACTTCCACCTAAAATACTCATGCAAGTCAGAGCATGTCATTGCAGAAGTGCAGCTAGGTGGATGTTTATGGCCTGTCCCTATTTCACAAATACTATAGTAAACAAAATGGCAAAGCCAAATGCAAAGCCCAGCAAGTACAGTCCTGGGTTGTTATTAAAATATACATTCCCAAAGCTCTTTGAATGACTTCAAAGTTCCCTTGAGAAAGACATGGAGAAACTCATCATTGCTTCACTAATGTGCAGGACCTGTACAGTACAGTTTTGGTGTGCTCTTTTTATGTCCTCGAGAGAAAAAAGGATGTGGTTGAGAGACCTTCAGCTAGATGTAGTTCCCCAGGAAATGCTCACAGCTTGTAAAAGATGCGTCAGCCATAGGAGCTTTAATGTCCCAGTAGGTGCCAAGGGGCACTGTCAATGCCCATTCTGCAGAGTGCCTTCCACACTGCCTTTGGAAGTCTTTTGTGAGGATTTTAGTGATGAATAAGAACTTGGTCTAGAACTGAGCTCTTTTTGCTAAATAAACAGAATGCTTACTGTAGTTTGTATGAAAAAGAAAATTAAAGGAAAAAAAAAAAAAAAGATGTGTGCCATCAGCCTCAAGGACACCAGCAATCAATACCATGTCTCCATGCCAGGAGCACTGCCCATCTGAGCTGTGTGGCTGGAGGCTTTCTGGAAAACACATTCTTCTTTAGTCACTTCAGCTCTGAATCACAGCTGTTCCTTGGTAACCTTTTGAAGGCAGAATCCTCTTCTTCCTCAGAGGGCTCTGCTTCACCCTACTCCAGCACTAGCTTCTGTAGCCTGCTAATTTTAGTGCCGAGATAGAACTGAGATGTTAGGTTAACTAACTGCCACTCTCTTTGTCAGTGCAAGACTATCTTCATTATATTATGTGAGCCTATGAAACATCAAAAACTGCTTCCCTCTGTAACTTTTAGCCCGTTAATAATCACGAAGCATCAAGAATCCAAATTGCTGCAGCCCAGCAATGGAGTTATGCTTCCACTGTCCCCATTTGGCTGGTGCAGGGAGGAAGCAGGATCTCTAGACCTGTTCCAGATCTTAACATTGCCTTTTCTTCTGCCTGCCCATGCCTGAAATTGGTAATGAGAAGGCTATTCATGCCTTTGCTCTCAATACAAAGCATTGTATTAGCTTGCTGTCACTTTGAGTGCTAGCTTATCTCTCTCCACCTGCAATTAAAGTGTCTAAGGAAGGGCAGCACAGTCTTAAACTGCGTCTTGAGATAAAACCACTTTTTGTTGGATTAACTCTTCTGCACACACACTGCACAATTTGCATTCTTGCATCACAAACGAGTATTTCCTGCAGTCCTATTGTTCCATCCTCATCAGAATTGTGACTGTTTCTAAATCAGTTTTCACACCAACCACTCAATACTCAATTTGTCCTCTGGCAAAAATCATTCCGAGACATGTGATTCAAGTCATTCTGAGTGGGAAAGAAGGAATACCTTTAGCCACAAATACTCCAAAGGGTTTTTGGGTTTTTTTCCTCTAGGGTAGTGAATCAGATGAGAGCATAAATTCTTCTTATAATTTTTCTTCTCCTGTAAATGCATCATTCTATTAATGCAGCTGGAGAGTAAAGATGAATTTTTTTCTGAAATGAAGCAAACTTCCAGGTCAAAAAAGACCAAAGTGAAATAGGCTTTCCAATCCATACTAACACACTGATCTTGAGCCATAACATTTACTGTCATTAATCCTGGAAATATTTGGCACAAGGACATGCAAGGGCTTTATTGCTAATCATAACTGTGGGAGTATATCTTCTAATCATAACTGTGGGAGTATATCTTTGCTCCTTTTAGCTTAAAAGTGGATCTGACCATTAATGTTAGAACATCTAGGCATTTGAAAATGTGGGACATACAAACCTCAAAACAGATGACATGTTCTGATGCATCACCAAGACATCAAGGAAAATTAAGCTTAGGATGAGTCTCAAGGTCTGTGCAATCAGTCACCATTCCTGCACACTGGCAGACTGGGCAGACTGTGAAGAAGCTGTTTCTAGGATGCTGCTGCTTGACAGTGAGTAAAGTATAATGTTTTTTGCTAATTAAAATTAAATATCTACAATTGCAAGAGATTGTAAGACAAACAGGTAATGAAAAAATGTGTCATTAAAAAAAAAAACAAACAAAAAAAGGAAAGTAAAATTTTCACAGTTGAAATCTTTTTTTCCCATAAACAGAGGGGTAAAAAGAGAAAGAAGTAGAATGGAATTTTAGTTCAGCTTTTAGCAGAAGTCCTAACTGTTTTTAAGCTGGCTTTTGATCTATGGATGTAAGGACTTAGATGAATTAGCAACAACCAGTAGGAGAGAATAGGATAGGAAATAGAATAGTAGGAGAAAATACTTAGGTTTGTTATAGTCATTTGGTTTCAGTGAGGTTTTCTTTACTCATTTTAATTCTCTTTTAAATCATCTGTTGTTACAGAATCCCTAAAATGCATTATGGAATTGCAAGCTAAAGCCAAGGCATACCCATTCAACAGTGACTCACTGTGCAGCCTGGGCTGTCTCAGTTCAGGAAGAGGTGAATGGGGCAGTGATAGTTCTCAGTCTCATAAAACACTTCAAGAACTTCCTGTGAAAAGGAGTAGCCCTGTTACTACAATCTCTTACCCGCCTGCTTTCTAGCCCAGTAACATAGAAAGAGCAAAGAACAAAATCCCTGCAGAAAACATAGTCCTCCTGCTCGGCATCTATTTGTATGAGAATTTGGGACCCCCACCCATCCCTTCCTGACACATCTGGTAAGTGTAATCTCCTCCACAAGACCAATAATGCACCATCATGGGAGAGTGGGAGGAAGGGTGGGGACAGACAGTAGGATAAATGTACTGAGAGGGAGAAAGAAATTAAGGGAAAACCTTACAGCAAAGTATATGTTCAGCTATTTCAGGAGTTTTCTTAATACCAGGTCCATGGAAAAGGGCAGAGGGAAGGGCTATGGAGGACTGTGAGCAGCTTGAGAATTCCAACAGCTGAAGGATAGGGCTGCAGCTGGCTCTGCTGTGTCCACTAAGCATCCAGTGGCTGGAGGCTTGTCAGGTCCCAGGGGCATTACTTGTGTGTCAGTGCCTTTACTGTTCTGTGCAGTGTCACTCCATACGTCTAAAATGGCAGAGAAAAAGTAATGGGACATTGTCTAAACTTTTTATACGTTTAGTAGAGATAAAGAAACTTTTACAACATCCTCTGCTGGCTGGTCCTAGATAAAACTGGAAGTTACAAGAGTACTTTGGTGATCTGCTCTGGGTGAGCCAAAGTGCCTTGTCTCTGGCTGGTGCAAGATCAAACCCTCCACAGGAAGCAGGAAGGTAAGAGCAGCAAGAGCACTGGAAAACACAGGATGCAGACACTGTAGAATCAGTGCTGTTTCCTGCTTGACTCAGCAGGAGTTATTTGTTTTTAATTTGGTATTGTCATCCACTTGTTTACACTGATACAGACCTAGTCTGGAGAAACCAATCCGTGATTTCCAAACAACTAACACATTCCATCACGGGTCATAATCCCACGCTTGATTGATACATCATGGCCTATAACAGTCATGCCAGTGTGTGGAATTGCACCCATTTCTTGGTTTGCTTGTCTCAGACGGTGCACAAAGGTGAATGTGAATGGTGGTAACAAAGCACTGGGCTGCACTGACGCAATGTGATTGGACTCAGCTGCAATATCACAGTTTCATAATGCAGAAGGCTTTGAAGAGCCAAACAGACCCCAAACATCCTGTGAAGCACAGCTGCAGGTCAGAGCTGGGAAAGCGGTGTTGGCTAGAGGGAGGCACCCAGAGCAATGCATCCAGGTATACAGGGTGGGTAGAAATGGATGCAGAGGGTCTGAGATGGACAAGTATTTCTTGATAGAAAGAACAACGTCAGGACAAGGGAAGGAGCACCATCTGGTGGAAAACAGGTCAAAATTAAAAGCGGTGATTCTCCCGATCTTTTCTTTATCATCACCTGACAAAGAACAAAGGAATTACTATCACCTCTGACATATTTTGTACAGCTCTGGGAACTCCTGATTTACTCTTCACAGAATATCAGAACTGTCTCAATGTATGTAATCTGTGCAGCTCATCACATGAGATGAGTCTGTGAGTCTGGGGAAGCTTAAAGTTTTAGAGTGCTTTTGGTCTGAATTCTTAAGTAGAATCAGAACCAGGTATGATATATTTTGTTGTTTTTTTTTTTTAAAGTCTCCTCTTTTCTCACTTGACCATTTCCATTGAACCTGTGTTGTCCTTGGGACTCCTACTCATGCGTCAAATAAAGTTAAAGTTGGTCAATAGGACTGACCAATTAAAAAGGTCCAAGGAGACAGACAGAAAAGATGCACGTGAACTTAGACACACACAGCCTTTCTTAGGAAACAAGAGTGCAAAGAGACGCCAAATGTGAGCCATTAGCTCATCTGCTTGTTTTGCAATGAATAGGATCCCAGTCTCGTGATTGCACAGTATTTCTGCAAGAGTATTCAACATAGCAGCAAAAGGATATCAAGCAGCTATTTGGTATACAATTCAAAACAACTAAGTGCAACATTCATTAGAATTAAGGGAATAAGCTAGAAGTCAGGTCAATTCAACTGATTCTGTAATTAGGAAAAGAGGAAACATCTAGCAGTAGTTTCAGAGTTTAATATTGGGCAAACACCATTGAAAGTTTCTACAATAGCAAAGATCCAAGGGTCACCTGAAAAGAAACTTCAGAATCAGCAGCTTTGCAAATTACAGTAGAAGCAGGCTGAAACTACCAAGTTTCTTAAATTGTTTCCTCAGTTGGGGTCAGTTTCTTCTCCTCACTTTGATTTTAATGGCATTTAGATGTCTTGTACTCTGTCCAGCCACTTGCTTACTCCCCCTTGCTGGGAAAAGTGAGAACTCATCGACTGCAATAAACACAGTTTAATAGGTAAAGCAAAAGTTGCACATGCAAGCAAAATAAAATAAGGAATTAATTCACCACTTCCCATCTGCAGGCAGGTGCTTGGCCATTCCCAAGAAACCAGGGCTGTGTAACAGCTACTTGGAAAGATAAACAACGTAACTCTGAACCTGCCTCCTTCCTTCCTCTTTTTGTAGATTTAAGTGTGAGTATGATGTGGAATATGATCAGTATGGAACCTGACAAAAGGTGGGGTCAGCTGTTCTGGCTGCATTCTCTCACAGCTCCTTGTGCACCCCCAGACCACTCATGTGTGGGGTGGAGTGGGGTGAGGAGCAGAAAAGCCCCTGGCCCTGTGTAAGCACTGCTCAGCAGTAAGGAAAACATCCCTGTGTTGTCACAACTGTTTCCAGCACAAATCCAAACCTAGTCCCGTGCCAGCTACTATGAAGAAAATTAACTCTATTCCAGCCAAAACCAGCACAATGCTCTTTCATGTAGAGGAGAATATTACACAGATGATATTTAGTGAAATGCAGAGTTATGAAGGTTGCCCATGATAAAAGGACTAATGGTGATATGCACTCTTGGATTTGCTCATAAATATTAATGATATCCAACACTGCACATACTGTATCAAATCTATTTGTAGTTGTACTCACCAAAATGGTATTGACAAATAAATACATGTTTCTCCAATCTATCTGTATTTCACCATCTTACCTTTGCTGTTTACCATGCTGGGAACCACTTACACGGTAGTAACAATTGCACAAGGAAACAAGCACTTCTGTGTTTTCAAGGTTCTAACAACAGACATATGCAGTCCTTTAAAATCCACCCTCTCATTTGGTTTAGGGATGTTTCTTTTGCACTTGGGTATTCCTTCACTAAAAAAACAAGATCTCCTTTTTTGTTGTTTTTTTGGTTGTTTTTTAACTGCCAAATCACAGTCTAATGGACGAAGTATTCTCTTACCTTGATTATAATCTTGGACATCTGCTCTAAGAAGCTGTTTGCCCATTCTGCTGTTACCACTTAGCTTCACATATCTGAACCAGGTAGAATTCGTCACTGACTGTTTTGACTAAGAATGTAATTTCACGGAATATTGTTTTGAAAAATATTACAAATTTAGACAAAAGGGAATTTTCTGGTAGAAAAAGTGCTGCCCTGGCAGATTCCTGAGCAGAAAAGCATTCAAGTACTTACAAAAAAATGCAATGATTATCTGAAAAAAAATTCCTGACTCTTCCTAGGAACTTGGATTCTCTATCTCAACAAGGAGTCATAAAGAGGGTGGTTAACCCATGAGTTACATTCCTTACTGACAACGCTGACCTGCTTGGGAAGGCAGAGAACAGGGTCCCTGCATTTGCCCATGTAGCTCCCACTACATCTGCCATGCAGCAGCTCCATATTCCAAGGAGACGTTTCCAGAGGCAATAGTGAGCACAGACCTGGAGCCAGTGCTAAGAGACGAAAGAATTTGACTCATTTGCTGAAAGTATTTGATCAGTCCAGCCTGCTCCCTGTTTCAGCCTGAGACCCATGCCTGCCTAGTACACTTAGTCATCTTTGTTTTTTGCAGGTAATTGTAGGTTCAAGACATGTATGAGTCCTCCCAGAGACATTCTCTTATCTTATAATTTTGATTTTTAAACAGAAATAGAATTTAAACAAGGAGCTACCTTTTCCCACTCTGCAGTTAAACAGGAAGGCTTCATAATGTTAAGATAAGTACATTTTGGTTTAACACTTCAGGGTTCAAGATTTGTATGTAATTATATTATGATCTCAGTGAACACAGACTGCTTGCTTATTGTGTTCTTTATTGAAAATTCTCTATCCAAATTGAGTTTGAGGTTTCTCGTTGCCACGAGACATATAATTCTTTCTTGACCACACTCTTATTCTTCTGTTTGTTGTTTGGGACTTTTTTTTCCACAATGAGGTAATAAAAGGGATGGTTGCAAAATAAGTCTACAGTTTTCATGTGAAGCTACCACAGACAGTCAGTCGAAGGCATTTGTAGCTAATTGATTAAGATGCATGACAAGCAATCTTAATCAATCATCATCATCATGATCAGAGTTCCATTTTGGGAAGTAGTTACATGCATTGGCAGAATCATAGATAGATAGATAGATAGATAGATAGATAGATAGATAGATAGACAGATGGCAGAGTTTTAATGGAAGGGTATTCAAACCCTTGGAGCTCTAGAACACTTAACATCCTGAATCAGTAGAAAGGAGCCTTTGCCATTGATAATTCATATTTTATCCTTGTTCTATAGTCAATTATAAACAGGGCTTTTAAGGTCTTTGAAAATTTAAGTATCCCAACCTGCTTTCTGTTGAGGTTTACAAATGTATTCTCTGGAAATTATAGGTCATGGATGGTTACTGTATTTATTTCAAGAAAAATATTGAAATGACAGATGAACCACTTAGATGATACCAACCTTTCTATGCTTAATTGTGCATGTGTCTTAAAGGAGTTGATTTATCTTATGGCAATGTCACTCTAAAATGTATCTCACCATGTGTATAAATGAAGGAGGACTTCAGCCACACTAAGTACTGAAGACTTTTTCTAGGCACAACTAACAAATAAAGGGATTTTTCTTATTTTAAAACTAAAATGTCCATTAAAAGTCCATTAAATGCTAAGATTCCTTCCAAAAGGTAGAGTTCACAGTTTTAAAGGAAAAAAATCCACAAATAATATTAACTGGAGGCTAAAAACTGAAGCAAGAAGGACGAGTGGTCCTTGTGTCTGTAAAGCTTACACTGTTGAACATTGCAGAAGCACGATCTGATAACAACTGTATCCCACTCATGCTGTCAAATCTATGCAACAGCTGACACAATTGTAATGCAGACTCTTGGTTATCCTGATGGGAAGACTGAAGGTTTGAAAGCACCATTGCAGACCCCAACAGTACAAATGTATCAACACACTTCCCTCATTTTCTAGGGGTTTGGCACACATACAGGATGGCAGCTCCCCATTGCTCCCTGCCTCTGCCCTCCCAGAGAACCTCCCTGGCAGCTCTTCCCCTACAGAAATGTACAGACACATATTAAAGCAAATGCTCTCCAAGCATGACAACTGATTACTATCTGACTTGGCCTTGGTACAGCCTGAGCGTGTTAAGACCTGACAGTATTTCAGTGTTGTAAGAAGAATTCAATGTGCAGTGAGGACATGCCTCCTAAACTTCACTAAGAGCTGATTTGGGACAGATCTGAAAGCCAGCATAACAGAAAACTAATGCATGGTAAGAAGAGGAGTATAGCATGTGTAATCCTAGCTGAGTTCATAAAAAAAGAAAAACATAGCAATTACTGCAAAAACTAACATTGTACTTGCTAGCTCCCAGTTCCACTCCCTGGCTTTCTGGCTGACCTTCGACTGCCATCTGTCTATTCAGGAAAGTGAGCATGAATTAGCTAAGTGTGTGAAGTATGTTATATCCTAAAAGAAGGTAAACCTCCCAATTCAGTGCTCTCACATAGCCTTAAATCACTATGGCCCAATCCTCAAGAGTAAAATTATTATATTTAGCTTCCTTTTAACAAGCATAATTTATCATACCCTAGCTGTCATTCTATCTTCTGTCCAGTTTTTGCAGAAGCAAATATATTCTTGCATTCTGATCCTCTCAGAATGTGAGGCAAATGAGGAACTTCAGATTGAATCCTTAGTGAACGCAAAAGGAAAGCCAAATGCCCGGTCCCCGGTGCCTCTTGCCTGCCCACCCAACACATGCAAATGTTCTCTTGGGATGTGGGAAGGGTTAAGAATTGTTCTTCATGCATAAAAATGTGCATTTATCTGTTAACCCTTCATGCTCTATTCTTGAAATGTCAAAAGCATTGTTTGAGCCAACAACATCTGCAGCATTAAGATTTCTGTACTGCCCAACATTCCTGAGGAACAGCAAACACAGAAATGTTCATTTCTTTCTGGAAGCTGTCTAGTTAAGGGTTAGTTTCAGCTGACTGCTGCACCAGTACCTTTCAAGATCATTTCATGGAGAAATTCAACTAAATGAAACAGAAAACAGCCTTAAGTGACCTTTCCAAATTGTCGTGGTCTCTCACTATGCTTCTTTACAAAACAAATTCCCGCTACCCCAATTTTCAGGATTAAACCAAAGCAAGAGGTCAAACGTGTGCATTTCTACAAAGAAATTAATGCCAAGACAAGAAGTCAGGCATTGATGTGCCCTGGCGTCCTGGTTGCTGGCTTCTCTCACTGGTCTCCAGGCTGTCCTTCGAGCTGTCCTTCTCTGTGTCCCAAATGAAACACGCATCCCTCTGAGCTCCCTGAACATAGTTTGAAAGGGCTTTTGAAGCAACACTTTCCTCCAAGGAATTAGTGTGCAGTGTTAATGGTGTACTGCTTTAGGAAGAAGAAAATCTTCCAATGGAAAGAGTCCTGCTTATGTGACCCACCTAATTCAGCCTAATTCAGGCAGAACCATTGCTCTTTTCCTGTTGTGTCCTCCTCTGAATTTCAGACAGGATCAGTGAACATTTTGCCCTTCTATCTTGTACCAAGGAAGGTGACAAAAACCTTGCAGCACTGTGACTGGTTACTTGGTTAGTTCCATTCATTTGCAAGTCCCTTGGTGATCACAGAATCTTGCAGGATTTAGTAAATCTCATAACTGAATTTTCCAGCTAAGGCTGTCCATGGGTATTTTCACTGTGTTTCTTGTGCCTCAAGTTGTGAACAGTTCATGAGGCTAGATTAGTATCAAGAGAAAAGCCTAAGAAAGATTTTGTGCTTGTAAAAGAGACCTTGTGTTTCTCATCCATGGACAGAGAGGGAAGAGTTTATTTAACTGGAACAGTTCACAGGTCTGTGGTTGAGATATATTTGGTCTTCTGGTCACTAAAACGCATAAGCTGCCTTTGCAGGCAGTGACAAAGGCATACAGAGGTTTGTGTAGCAACTAAGAGGTTACCTTTCTGTGCCTTTGAGTTTCAAGGATTTTGAAACAGGTTCAAACACTTTCTGAAGTTTCATCTTTCGTTGACTCCCTTAATCCCCCCAAGCTTGGCACCATTTCTCACTCATGTTTATATTTCAATCTCAAGTTTCTTGCTTGAGAGCTATATTGTTTAAACCTGAGGCTGTCAGTGATGGTGCATCTGGGAGATTTGTTACAGATTTTCCAGCAGCTTCTCACGGTTTGGAGTGTGTGGGTGTGTGTGAGGGGGGTGCATGTTCAGGGAAGATGTGCATGAACTCTGCGTGAGGCTGATCTCATTCATGGCAGCTCATTTTAGCTTTGCATGTTTTGTCACTGGGCCTGAATGCCCATG